AATAAATTCTGAATTTAAAAAAATGTTATTGACACATTTTAAATGATGAATTCTGTGATGGTGTAGAAGGCGCTGAGGGTTTGCCACGGCTAAAAATTCATTTTACGTTTATCAGAAAATGCTATTTCTCTATTTAAAAATTACTCAACTTCTAGGTTCAACAATGCAAACAGTGGTGGAAAATTAAATCAGTTAAACTGATGCACTGGCTGAATAAAATAAGCCTTTTCAGTTTAATTTGACACTTTGTTTCACAGCCAGCCTTGATGAAATCTTATCAGAACTGTCCTTTGTGTTTCTTTCCTGACGACAACGTCTGCAGGGCTCCTGGTGCTGAAAGAGCTCGGCATCCGAGTAGATCGTTACGTAGCCTCTGAAGTGTGTGAAGACTCCATCACAGTAGGAATCGTCCGGCATCAGGGACGGATCATGTATGTTGGAGACGTGAGGAACGTCACACGCAAACATGTGAGTGATTGATCTCATTAAACACAAACAGAATTAACATTATAAAACATTAATTTCATTAAATGATCTGGATTGCTTCTTACGTAAAAGCTGCAAAAATATGATGCTGTTTTATACAAGATTCATGATTTATGCTGTCTATGTCTGGGTCTGTGTAATATCTCTGTACAGATTCAGGAGTGGGGTCCTTTTGACCTTGTTATTGGTGGAAGCCCCTGCAATGACCTCTCTATAGTCAATCCTGCTAGGAAGGGTCTTTATGGTAAGTTTAAACCACTTCACTCACTATAACGGAACAGTCATTGGCTTGCTTTTATACAGTCCCCTCCAAATGTATTGGAACAGCAAGTCAAGTTCCTTTGTTTTTGTTGTAAAACATTGAAAACATTTGGGTTTAACATCAAAAGATGAGACAAGAGTTCAGAATGTCAGCTTTTATTTCCTGGTATTTACATGCAGACTAGGCCTGTCACGATAACAAATTTTGCTGGGCGATTAATTGTCTCAAAAATTATTGCGATAAGCAATAAAATTGCCTGGTGACCGTTTTACAACTAATAATTATAAAAGCGTAAGATGTAAGTGTAATAAATCAATAAACTTTAATTTTTAAAGAATGTTTAACAAAGTGGACTCAGTCTCTAACAAAAAAATGCACTTGAATAAAAAAAACAAAGAACAACAAAATGTAAATTAAACACCACACACAACTAAGACAGTAAATAAACAATATTAAAGAGCAGCATGTCTTTAGAGATGAAGCAAACTACACAGTCTGGTGAGGACCCACTGTTTCTTATGGGGACATAAGCCCAGTTCACATCCCATGTAAAGTTTAGGCTAGGTTTAGGGTCAAATGGTAATAGAAAATACTGGTAAATGAATGAAAGTCAATGCCAAGTCCCCATGAGGATAGAAGAACAAACGTGTCAATGTGTGTGTGTGTGAGGAGGGGACAGTCAGAGAGGAGACAAGCAGAGCGCTG